TGGATAGTCACTTGTCTGAGATGGTATAGGTTCTCCTGCTTGAGTAAGGGGCTGGACTAGAAGACTTCTATTCTATTCTATTCTATTCTATTCTATTCTATTCTATTCTATTCTATTCTATTCTATTCCATTCTATTTGGCCTGTTTTCCCAGCTTGTTTCAAAACTTTATGATGGCAATGCCAATAAAAGAAATGATACTGTCCAATATTTTGACAAACTTTTCTTTTGTGTGCCTTGTTTTGGGGAGATTTTTGTCAAGCTTAACCAAAGAGAGGTTTTGCATTTTGCAGGCTTCCTTCTTCTCGGGAGATGCTCACCTTTGTTTTTCTTTTTTTAAGGAGATAGATATAATTTTGAAAATTGCAATGGAAAAAAAAAGACACAGAAATTACCCTTCAACAGCACTAAGCCATCCTGTTCCATTAATACATTTCTAAACCTGAATATTGCATAGAGAAAAGTACATTATCTCAGAGGCTGAAGCCACCTGTAATCTATTCTGGCCATTACTGCTCTCATTAGGAATGCAAAATGCAAGGTGCTGAAAACACAAAAGGAGGGAGAGATTTGCTTAATATGAGGTTTGAAAAACAAGTAAATTAGATATATGCATTAGCTATAAACTTCCCAAGTTGGCCAGCTGCAACATTATTTCCTTACTTTTAATTTTAAGAAAGGCTTCCTTTTTAAAATTAAAACTCTTTCTGGTCACTCTCATTGCACCATTATCAAACACTGTAATCTTTCCATTGAACCTCACACAGCAGAGCCTCTTTGGTGGAGATGTTAAATTACTGGCGACCTTCCTCTGACGTTGGTTTCTCCGTGGCTTCTGGTTTCTCATGGCTGCTCATTTCTTCCATCTTGCCAGCATAATCGTTCTATGCTTGAGCAGGGGACTAGACTAGAAGATCTCCAAGATCCCTCCCAACTCTGTTATTCTGTTAAATAATCCACAGTTCTAGTATGTTCCCAACTATAATAGTCCTGCCTTCCTTGGGGTCCAGCTACCCAGGCAGCCATTTGCTAATCCTGCTATTCTAAAGTTTTACAGGAGACAAACTCATGGGGAAGAGGAAGGAAATGCTATCAAGTTCTCCCTTTCTGCCGAGGGATTATAATTATCAGCTCAAAGTCTATGAAAGATGAGCTGCAACAGGGCAGCAGATAAGTCACTCCAAGGGCAATCATCACTGGCCATGAGGATAAAATATTCCCTGTTGATTTGCTCTGAAGCCTGCATGTGCTTCACCCCAATATTAACAGCCCTATGGAAGAGCCCTGTGCTGCTCTTTGGGAAGGTTGAGGTAAAGAGTCAGGCTGAGGGATCCCACATTGGAGCTGGGAGGTTGCTGTGCTTTGGGCCCGCTCAGATGACCACATTACATTGCAGTCCAAAGTCATTAACAAGCAAAAAGAGATTGCCATCGTACTGCTGAGTCCTGATCTGTCTAAGCAGCAAGGCCAGCGAGTTTTTATGTGGAGACACAATTATTGGTGGATGGCCTCATCTTTATGTACCTTCACCCTGAGCATTAACTGCTGGAGGGATGAACAATCCCTGACCACTCTCCTTGCCTGGTTGGCAAAAGCAACAGAAAACCAATTGCACAGCATGCAGCTGTTGAAGGCGGCTGTCTTCCCTGTTCCTGCAGTCTGTTCAGGACAGGACATTTTTTTAAAAAAACACAGCTCTAGTATTCCTCCAGAAGGCTGCTCAAGCCATGTTTGCAAGGAGCCCTTGGCAAATACCAGTCAGGCATTATCTATTGGGGATCTTGTCTCTTCTGCGGCCCTCTTCAAAGGCCAATAAAGGAATGGTTGGCTGGCTCAGGAATTCTGGGAGTTGAAGTCCACAGGTCATAAAGCGGCCATAGCTTCCCACCCCTGCCTTAGCAGTTGGTTCAGACCCTCCCCATTCCAGAGGGTCAGGCCTTCAGCTGATTCACAACCCAGGTATCGGCATGGCATAACTGTGCCCTTGCCTCTACCTGCCTGGCACTTTGTTCATCACGCCAGCTTCTCCAGCTGCTCTGCTCTCAGTCTTGGCTGTCAAGCTCCTCCTGCCTGACCTGGGGTGGAGCTGAGTCTTCTGGGAGGCAGCACTGCCAGGTGGTCTCCAAGGAAGAATTCAGAAATGAGACTGTTTGTAATTCTGCTTCTTTATGAATGTTCCCTATGAGTCTTCCTTATCAACTTGCCAATGCCCTAAGATGATTAAAATTGATTTCGACTCTACTCTTTCCCTCCCAATTAGAGTCAAGACCTCTGGCCTTATATGGTCCCTTTCAGCAATCTTCCTGCTCCTTCCACCTCCTCAGGGTAGCCTTCCCTACTGATCAGTACCAAGTCAAGGATTACTGATCTCCTTGTGCCGGCCTCAGTCCTATAGAGGACAAAGCTGTCAGCAAATCAAATCAGGAATTTCCTAGAGTGATCATTCTTGGCGAACTCATTTCTATCATCTCCTGGAAGGCATCACCCTGAGCTGCTTTTTTGCTGGGCACCATATTGCGTTTATTTCTTCTCTCACTTTTTTTTTATCGCAGATGTTCTCCACGACACTGTCAAATTCATTCATCTGGATTTGTTAGCAGGAAGGGATATTTTTAAATGCACAGTGCAACCCCTTCCTATTCCTTCTGTTTCATTTGAACACATTTTATCCTCTTGTTCATTAAAAGAGATTGCTAATCCAAATTTTATGGGGCATTTTATCAACTACATTCCTCAAATCAAGATTTATTTATTTAGGATATTTATACAGCCACCCATTTCACAAAAAACATGACTCTGAGCAGTGTACAACAACAATTAAAAACTCCATAACCATGTAAAAAAAAAACCCCAGTCAAACATAAATAAAACAAATACTTACACAGAACTTATAAAATAAACATATGAAACCTAAGAAAGCAGGAGAACAAACATCACTTGATCTCACATGAACACCTTCTAGGCTCTCCTGGGATGATGAAAAAAAAAACATGGTTTCAGAGTCTCTTGGGAGGCTAAGAGAGACGGGCTAACCTCACCTTGGGTAGAAGGATGTTCCAGAGACCAGGGGCCGTAGGAGAAAAGCCATGACAGATGGAGCTCCCTTGAAGACAGGAGATGCAGCCTACCACTCCTGCTGGGACCAGCAGATATAATCCAGAAGAAGCTTTCCTCAAGGTCGACTCAAGCCATCTAGGGCATTAAAGGTCAAAACCAGCACCTTGGATTGCCCCCGGAAGCAAACTGGCAAACAGTGGAGCTCATGGAACAAAACTATTGCATCCTTAGGATTCCCAACACCTGCTTAGAAAGCTACCCAATCAAAAAGAAAAATAGGAGGAGGAAGAAGCATTGATATATTCATTGCCACATTGAGTTGGATATATTAGAAAAGGCAAGATAAAAAACCTAAACAAAAAGAAAAAGAAGGTGGAACGAGACTTGTTCCTGCATTTGTTAAGTCCAGGGTGACTTTTAATAACAAGTTCCTTTGTCAATGGGTGAAACAAGAACCTTTCATCCTCCATCCCTCTTCTCTGTTCCTTCCTTCCTTCCTTCCTTCCTTCCTTCCTTCCTTCCTTCCTTCCTTCCTTCCTTCCTTCCTTCCTTCCTTCCTTCCTTCCTCCATCCCCTCTATTCTGGCCTGCCTGCCTTTCCCCCCTCCCTCCCTGAAACTGACATCAGTTTTCATATAGGCTGGTCCAAGTGGCAAGAAAAGAAAGCAAAAGTGATATTTTCTCCACCCCCACTTCAGCTCGGGGTAGTGGTAGACAGAACACTTGGTCAGCATCTCTGCTAAGTTAAAGAATCCAAAGCAGGAATTGCCTGGGTGAACTTCATCTCCAGCTGGCATCAGTGGGGGAGACAAGCAGCTGAAGAGGGTTGTGTAGAAAGAAGGGCTCTCGGCTAAAATAGGAGCTGAGTAATTTGACGCTTTCTTTATTACTGCTCATATTTTGTCACATTCCCTTCTTTTCTTTGCTTTTATTTTGAACAGATTAGAAAAGACCCTTTGTGAATCTCAGCTCCTTTTGAGTTTTATCCTCTTTGACATCATCTCTTTAACTCTGGGCTCTTTACAACTCACATATATTTTCATTTTATATTTTCAGAACATCACTAATGTTTCTACAGCTTCTTCAGAGTTCCCTGGCACCTTAAACAGGGCTCTCTGTACTACAGAGTTTTCACATTTCTGGGCTTTCAGAATAGAGCTGGAAGGGACCTTGGAGATAATAATAATAATAATAGTAAAGTTGGAAGGGACCTTGGAGGTCATCTAGTCCAACCCCCTGCTCAGGCAGGAAACCCTATACCATTTCGGACAAATGGCTGTCCAGTCTCTTCTTAAAAACCCCCAGTGTTGGAGCATTCACCGCTTCTGGAGGCAGGTTGTTCCACTGGTTAATTGTTCTAACTGTTAGGAAGTTTCTCCTTAGTTCTAGGTTGCTTCTCTCCTTGATTAGTTTCCACCCATTGCTTCTTGTCCTGCCTTCAGGCATTTTGGAAAATAGCTTGACACCTTCTTCTTTGGGGCAGCCCCTGAGATATTGGAAGACTGCTATCATGTCCCCCCTCTTCTAGTCCAGCCCTCTGCTCAAGCAGGAGAACCTATACTATTTCAGACAAGTGGTTGTCCAGTTTCTTCTTAAAAACCTCCAGTATTGAAGCACCCACAACTTCTGGTGCCAAGCTGTTCCACTGATTACTTGTTCTCACTGTTAGGACGTTTCTCCTTAATTCCAGGTCGCTTCTCTCCTTTATTAGTTTCCATCCGTTGTTTCCTGTCCTGTCTTTTGGTGCTTTGGAAGATAAACCGACCCCCTCCTCCTTGTGGCAGCCTCTCAAATACTGGAATGCTGCTATCATGTCACCCCTAGTCTTGAAGAGCGCTTGAGGAGGAAAGAGAGGAAATAAGCTACATATCTGAACTTTTTTTTTCAAACCAGCTTAGGCTGGCCCTGAATGTGAAACAGTGATCCCAGCCCCACTTTTACATACATGAATCCTTGCTGCCTGTGAGCATCTCCTTACAGCATTTGTCGATGGCAGTTGCAAGCTGTTTCAGTGTTAATCAACATTTTCTCTGTCGTTATCTTGAGCTTTGCCAGCTTGGATCTGAAGTATAGATGAAATTAAATTAAATTAATCTATGCATTAATTACTCTTCACCACCCTCCCCTCCCCCACCCCCACAGCCTTATCCCTCCTCAAAGGAGAAACAAGCAGTGCCAAAAATATATATTAAAATAAAATAAAATGAAAGACTTCAATTATATTATACAATAATGGGATGATTACAGTTTTTATGTTTGCATTAAATTGAGGAGAATTAGGAGATATTTTACTGACATTTTATGCAGATAGCCCACAGCAAGCTAGGTAGCAGTTACATGCTGTAATAAATGTCACCATTTAAAAATTAATTGCTACACTATCTAACTTGCTGTGGGCTGTCTTGTTAAATATTAATGGAATATCTTGGGAAAAAAAGGGGGTTGTGACTTATTTAGATGTAGAGCTAGGAGTGGGAAAAAGCTGCCAACCTCGCACTGGCAGCCAGAGGCCCTTCCCGCCAACGCCACCGGCTGAAGGGCAGGGCTGCCTGCCTTTAGGGCATCCTGGCTGTGGGCAGGTTTTTCGCTGCTCAGGGGGCAGCCAGAGAGGGGATGTCGGGGGCCTCCAGGGCCTCCCCACCCTCCAGATGGTCTTTGTCCACAACTTGCTTTCCCCAAGAATTCAAAGTTGTTGGGTTTCCTCTCCACGCTTTTCTTTTCTTTTTTTTCATCCCTGAAATCCTGGCTACAAGAAGGCGCAGTGTGGCCGCACACATCAGTCGTTACTTAACGAGTGGGGCCGCAACAAATCACGCTTGTCTTTAAAAATATTTTCCAAGCAGCAATATCACCGTTTAATTAGCTCGGAGGGCTGGGCACTGTCATTGCAAAGTCACCCTTTTCAGAGGAATTCTGCAATCCCTTTCAATGTCTAGAACAGAGGTCCCCAACCTTTGGAGCACCAGGGACCGGTTCCGTGTGGAGAGAGGTTTTTCCACGGACGGGAGAGTGCGTGGTTTTGTGTGCTGCCTGCATCCCACGGATAGGGCTTTGCTTGTTTGTCCAGCCCGGTTGCTGGCATGCTGCAGCCCGGTATCGATCCATAGACCAGGGGTTGGGGACCCCTGGTCTAGGTCAGGTTGCACCTCTGGCCCAAATATCTGGAGATCATCGGGACACCAGACTGTTCCTTCAGATGGAGAGCAGGGGCGGGGAGGGTGTCTCCAGGTCTTTGTGCATTTGCCCTACTTTCTCCCAGCTCAAGGATTTCCTCCCTGCCAGGACCCTACAGCAAGACTGAATGACCCAGGCAGCTGACCCAGTCCTCTCCAGGAGTCCAGCCTCTTGGCAGCCTGGCCCTGCTTCGTTCTCGTTCCCTTCTCCGGCACATCCCAGGCTGTTCCTTTCTCCCAGTGGGGTGAGCCTGGGGGGTGTCCCATAGCCCCTTCCTTCCTTGCCTACCACCTGAGATGCCAGCTGTGCCCCAGGGGGCCTTTGGTGGCACAGCAGAGTGGCAGGGTGTTCAGCCAATCAGCTTCCTCCTATGGCTAGGGAGGGCAAGTCAGTGGTCAGGAGGCTCAGTTTCTCACCCCCCCCTTTGCTGCTCCTTCCTTTTGGGGAGGGGGAGTGGAGGGTGTACCAGGGACCCCCTCCAACCTGCTGTTCCTGATATTTCCACGGGGGGGGGGGGAGGTGTGTGTGTGTGTGGGAAGGTCCCATTTATTCTGTTCCACTTGGATATTCACCGTTGCTGATATTTGGCTGAAGGCTTTAACTGCACTCTTTTTGATGTTGAGCTTTTATTGCGGTTTTATTAATAGATGCTGTTGTTAATTGGTTTTTATAAATCACTTCTTCAGGGGCCTCATTACCGGTGGAAATGGCATAAAACCACTTAAATAAATAAATATTGGCTGTTGAATGGTCTTAAAAGATGCCTGCCAGTCAGGAGATATGACCCTCTCCCCACCCTGGGGGTGGGGGGCGAGATGAGCCCCGCTGCCAGGTTGGGGGGGGGACTCCAGCTCTTGCGGGGGTCCCTTGCTGAGCCATATTTTTTTTTTTTTACTATTGTTAGCTTCGTATTTTTGCTGTTCTTCATTATTTTGTCAGTTGGTGTGCAAAGTCCATAATTCATAATTCAGGGATTTATTTTAAATATGCTTTGCTCACGCTGTTTTATTTTTGTGTTATATATACAATATATTAAGTTTTCATTATCATTTTTATCTTGCTGATAGAAAATGGTGATAGAACTGTTTTAAAGGGTTTTAAAATACTGCAGCCATGTTTGGTCACCATATCACAAAAAAGATGTTGTATGTTTGGAAAAAATTCAGAGAAGAGCAACTAAGATGATCCAAGGCCTGGAGACTAAAACATATGAAGAACGGCTGCAGGACTTGGGTCTGGCTAGTATAAAGAAAAGAAGAAATAGGGGAGACATGATAGCTGCATCTCTCTCTCTCTCTCTCTCTCTCTCTCTCTCTCTCTCTCTCTCTCTCTCTCTTTCTCCCTCCCTCCCTCCCTCTCTCTCCCACATCCCATTGATAGAACAGCCAATGCATTCTTATGCTCATTCTGGATATTATTATGGATGATTTTATTGCTTTTGGCCTGGAAGGCAACCTCTAGAGATTTAAAAGCATGGTGCTTGTTCAACAGCATTGTCAGGAAAACATTTTCCAACTATTAGCAAATATCCTGATTTTGATTTAGAGAAATTAATTCCAAATTAGTCTTCTTTACCAATTGCGTTGTGCTGTGAAAATTGCTCAAGCATAATTGAAGTCCTCTGTGAATCGTAGAAAGGATCAATACATCAGTTGCATATATTCATTCACTTATCCATTCATCCAATCGATCAATCAATGTTAGGATTCAGCTTAATGTCAATCATCCCTCTCAGTCATCTAGGAAAGAAAGATGCCTGGCCATTTGTTTTTGCCAAGAGTCTACTTTACTGAAGCTGAGGTGGTTACAGAAGTAGCATAAGCTGAATCTGTATGCAAACAATACCAAGTAAAATTTCCTCTCCCCTCTTCTCCATTGATCTGTAAAAGTCCAATTAGGTCAGGGGTAGTCCATGAGTCATAAAAGAGCCAAGGTTGCCTACCCCTGAATTAGATGCTTGTATATTGTTTTTTTGAAACAGGTTCTTGTTTCCCAGCGATAATTGATCTTGGCTGACAGACGCTTGAGCGTCAGCAAGGCCTCCCAATCAAGAAACAGGCGCAAGGGATGGACATCCCAAAGGGATGCAAAGGCACTTCTGGATTGGGCTGGCACCTGCTCTTTGGGTACTGGATTTTGCATCCATTCTCAGAGGAATTTTGGGATGGGTTTGAACAGTGTTTGGAGTGCAGCTGCAGAGAACCCAGGAAAGAGTCAATTAGCTAGAGGCCTTCCAGGCCAGGGGTCAAAGCTGACTTGGCTTCACCCATGCCTGCCTCTGATTTAGGCTTCTCAGTTTACCAAGCAAAAATGAGAGGGGGCTCATAAATTCCTAGGGAGGGGGGAGGGCTAAGGAATGCATGAGAGCCTTCTGCCGCCTGAGAACAGTTACCCACCAAGGTCAAGTCCCAAGAACTGTCCAAAAGACGCAGACTATTTTCCCAAAACAAAAAAAAAACCACATTCAATTGGTGGACAATGAACTATGCGTGGCCCAGAGGAGCATGGGGATTTTACCTATACTGGTTTTCACAGGAAAACCTTAGAACTGAGTTTGCTTCTATTGTACCTAGATGGATCTTTCAGTAAAGTTTCACTCTTGGTAAACTCTAAGGACTAGGAGTTCCTTTTTTAAAATGTGCTAACTGGGACGGTTGACACCAGGATTCAATATGGAGACAGCCCTAGTCATGTTTGTAGATGACCTGTGGTGGACTAGGATGGTGGTGGTACGTTTATTCTTGTGCTCCTTGATCTCTCCATGGCTTCTGGTACAGTTGACTGTGGTTTCCTTCAGGACCAGCTCCAGGATATGGGAAGAATTACGGAGAAGGTCCAGTCTTTTGGAACTCCTGGGCAGAGTTGAGGGCAGCAAAAGGGCTGCTCACCAATCAATATAAGTTGTGAAGACTTCAGTGGAGATATAACAGCTCCCCACTGCTTTGCCTGCCAGAGCCGGTGCCCAATTTTTTTTAATTTCTGTGTTTCTGTCTGGAAGGCAGACTGGGAGACTGATGCGTGAAGGATCATAGAATGAGATCAGATTTTATCTACCTGTGAAGTGAAAAAATTATTGCAGGGATACGACAGGCCCTCACTGGTGGTCTTTTGGGCTATCATCTGCCAAAAGGAGATTTGATCATCTGCTTTTGTGTACATGTTTATGTGTAGACATACATCCCATAACTCTTTTCTAGTGTATTTTTTTTTTAGAAAAGTTTTACATGCACTTTTCTCTAGCAATAAAGAGAGTGACTGAATCTATTATCAAGAAATCTCTGGCTATCTTCCAGTCTAAGTCAAGGGCGGGTTTATGCAACCAAGAGAGCCAGGGAGTGATAAACAGTTGCTAATTTTTCACAAGGTATTATACTGTGTTTGTGTAATTAAATCTTGAAGAGGTCAGTTACATGGTCTGGGATAATATCTCTATACAAAGAAGAAATGGACTTGAATTCACAGTCTCTTACTTTCTAGCCCGGTGCTTTAACCACTAGACCAAACTAGGCTCTCAATGTTCACCAACTGTTTCTCAATCCGTGCAGTTGTTTGCTCATTTCATCAAACCACAAATACTTTATGAATTTGAGATTGTTTGGGGTATTTTTGGCAGCACCCTCCAGTGATTGTTGACTGAGCAGGCACCCTCAATTTTTCATTGGATTAGGCCCGGAGCCAAGACAACTGTCGAGTTTAAGAATAACTTGAAGTGCTTTTTTCCTAAGGTATTGGACATTTACCATTGAGCGTGACAGGTATGAAATGTTCTCCCCCCCCCCTTTCTGTAGCCGTGGATCTTTATTTGAGTGATGGATCACCATTGCATTGCTGCAAATCTCAGCTTTGAAACTCTTGACATTTAATAGACCAAGAAATATTTGCAGTGAG